GATTTCTTTCTCAGTCTGTTTATCATTTGCATATAGGAGGGCTGCTGATTTTTTTTTTTGAGTTAATCTTGAATCTCACCACATTACTGAAGGTGTTTATCAGCTATAGGCATTCCTGGGTAGAGTTTTTGGGGTCACTTATGTATACTATCATATCATTTGTGAATAGTGATAGTTTGACTCCGTCCTTTCCCATTTCTATCCCCTTGGTCTCCTTTAAAGCTTCTGTAAGGCAAAGCACACTGTCAATAAGACAAAATGACAGCCTACAGAATGGGAAGAGATCTTCACCAACCCCACATCTGACAGAGGGCTGATATCCAAAATATATGAAGAATTCATATATCAAGATATCAAGATACAAAATAACCCAGTTGAAAAATGGGGTACAGAGCTAAACAGAGAATTCTCACCAGAAGAATCTCAAATGGCCAAAAGATATTTAGGGAAGTGCTCAATATCCTTAGTCATCAGGGAAATGAAAATCAAAATGACTCTGAGATACTCTGTCTTACACCTGTCAGAATGGCTAAGATCAAAAATATTCAGGACAGCTTATGTTGGAGAGAATGCGGAGTCTACAGGGTAAACTGGGAATGGGTGGGGGGCAAGGGAGAGGGGCGGGGGGATGGTCGAGTTGTGGGAGGGATGCAGGGGTGGAAGAGAATTGAAAAAGATATCTTAATAGAGCCACCAAGCACCAGCCGGAGAAGAGAAGGAGAAGGGAATACATGAGCAAGGGAGGCCAAGATAATGAAGGGGAAATCTACAGAGATAGCTGAACCAAACTCATGGAACTCATGGACTCTAGACCGACAGCCATGGAGCCCCCATGGGATCCGAGCTAGACCCTCTCCATGTGGTAGACAGTTGTGTAGCTGGGTCTATCTGAAGGGCCCCTGACCACAGGGCCAGGATCTATCCTTAGTGTATGAGCTAGCTTGTTGGAGCCCATTTCCTAGGGTGGGATGCCATTCTTAGCCTTAATGCAGGGGAGAGGAGCTTGGTCCTGGCTCAACTTAATGAGCCAGGCTTTGTCAACCTGCCATGGGACCCCTTACATGTAAGAGGAGTGGATGGGAGGTGGGCTGGGGGGGGCAGGAAGAGGGGTGGGAGGGAGAACTGTGGTTGGAATGCAAAATGAAATAAAAAAAAGAAACTTAAAAAAAAAGGGGTAACACCCAGTTCAATATTGAACTATCAGTGATCCACTGGCCAGAGGTATCAAGCTGTTTCTTACATTTTTGAAGATACAATCTGAAGTTGCCAGATCTTTTCTTTTATTGTACCTGATTGGTTAACATAGAAGCTACATTCCTCCCCTAGGAAGAGACAAAAGCTACCTCGCTGCTGTTAGTAAATCTAATCCTTGACAGTTTTGTAGTACTATGGTAGCCAACCAGTCTTATTTGGCACTGGAGGGTTTAGGATGGTCTGAGCCACCTGATGAAGATCCTGGATGAACTTTGAGGAAAACCAATGGTAAATAGCTAGGGAAGTAGTCAGTCCTGATGTTCCAGTGGTGACACCAACAACTATGCCTAGGGCTGCCCTGACAATAATGGACTAAACCTCTGAAATGATACGCCAGCCCCAATGAAATTTTCCTTTTTAAGAGTTGCCTTGATCTGCTGTCACTGGGGCCATGGCATTTTGGGTGGCCCTTGCTGCCACCTGGGTCCATGGTGACAACCAGACCCAGCCAAGGTCTGTGTTGATGTCCATGGCCCATGTTTCTACCAAAGGCCATATGAAGCCTGGAGTCTGGGCTGAAACCTCTGGCCTTGCTGGTGTCCAGAGACCATGCTGTTGTCAAAACCATCCTGATCTATGTGGCTGGGGCTACCACCTGGAGCTTGAATGTTGACCTGGCTGAACTGCTGTCTATGGCCATGTCTAGGTTCATGGTCCAGCTGCAGCTGAGGTCTGTGTTAAAGTATGTGACCCAGGTTGCCACTAGGGCCCACAGGGAGGTCTGCGATCTGGGTCACAGCCTTCGGCCTTGGTGGAGTATGTGGGCAATGCTACAGTAGGAGCCATGTAGATCTGGATGGCCTGTGCTGATACCTGGGCCCATGGTATCATCCAGGCCTAGGCTACTGCCGAGGATTACGTTTGGGTTCATGACCCTATAGCAGTCAGGGTCTGGATTGATGTATGTGGCTCCTGTTACCACTGCAGGCCATGAAGATGCCCAGGGTCAGGGCAGCCACCTAAATCTAGCTTGTTGTCCAAGGGCCATGATGCATGCAGATCTGAGTGGTGTACACTGCTGCCCAATACCATGGTAACATCTGGGCCAGGGCTGCATCTGAGGGCCATGTTTGGATCCATGGCTCTGCTGCAGCCAGGGTGTGCTCATGTTTGAGGCTCCTGTTACCATCAAAGGCAATGCAGATGCCCAAGGCCTGGGACCATGTTGGTGTCTCAGGGCCATACTGCCATTGGAGTGGGGACCATGCCAATCTGAGTAGCCTTCACTGCCACCTGGGGCAGTGGTGACATCCAGACCTGGCTGCTGCCGAGGACCATGTCTAGGTCCATGGTCCTACCATGGCTGAGGGCTGTGTTAAAGTTCAAGTCCCATACTGCCACCAGAGGCCTCATAGAAGCCCAGGGTTGAGGATGTAGCCTGAGGCCTTGGCGGTGTCTGGGGCCATGCTGCCACCAGAACCACCCAGGATGTCGTCTGGGCCCAAGCTGCTGCCAAGGGCCATGTCTGGTTCAGTTGCAGCTGACATCTGTGTTGGTGTCTGTGGCCCATTTCACCTCAGGGGTCCTTAGGAACCATTTGAGATTAAATAAGAGGGCCCTGCTGGCCCCACCCTTTGATGACCCAGGGAAAGCTGGCCTTGTCTCTTTATGGACACTGCAGCAAGACAGGAGAGCCAGTCTCCAGAGAGATGGCTCCTCCCCTCACCACAGGGGAGGGTGAAGCAACCTTGAGGGCATGGGCTTAGGGGAGCTGACTCCACCCCCTCATCTGAGGTGGGTGGCCTCAGTGGCCTGGACTGACCAGCTCAACTACCACCCGGGTCCACCATCGGATCTTGGGTTGGCCTAGGGTGACATCTTTCCCATCTAGGACCTGCTGGAACTTGCAAAGGAACCGGTCCTGTTGATCAATACTTGCAGGATCTCCAAGACCCAGCCAGGGCAGCCACAGGATATCTGAGAGAAGTTCTAGTGAGGATCCAGTGATAATGGTGTACCAGAAACCAGAGGCCTTGAACCAGACCAGTGACTCATTGCAATGGACATTTGCTAGTAAAGCTGATAGGACAAAAGAGTATACTATAGTATACTCTTATATATGACACACTGAGGTCCCTGGCGCCCGTAGGACGAATGAAGAGTGTTGGCGAGGCGGGAAAGAGGGAGAAGTGAAGAGTTTTATTTTTTTGTTCGTTTTGTACTTATTTTTGTTTGCTTGCTTTGCTTTGTTTTCTTTTGTGTGTGGGGTGTTGCAGAGGAGTGAGCTGTGATCCCGGCTTCTCCTTGAGGATATTTGACAGGTTACTTCTTGTGGTAGCTTGGGGAGGGTGCAAGTGCTGACATACATTTAGTTAGTCACGAAGAGAATGCTGGACCTGGTGGTGTATGTCTGTGATCCCGGCTCTCAGGAGGCTGAAGCCAGAAGACCTGAGAGTTCGAGGCCATCTTGAACTACATTGTGATACCCTATCTCAAAAAACAGAGAGTGAAGGTATGTACCACCACCACCCGTTACCTGTTAATAAGGGATAATCGTGCTGCAGTCCACAGATCCAGAGAGGCTAAGTAACAAGGAGGGCTAAACATGGGATGTTGGTGCATAGATCTACCCGGGAAAGGGAAATGGAAGAGATGTTGCAGGTGGGGATCAGAACAGGAGGGATCGGGTGTGGGAGAGGTAGTGGGATGAGAGAGAGAGAGAGAGAGAGAGAGAGAGAGAGAGAGAGAGAGAGAGAGAGAGAGAGAGAGAGAGAGAGAGAGAGAACAGGGAGAGACTCCTGGAATTGGGGGACATTTCAGCCCCCCCCAGCACAATGGAAACTCTCCGGAATCTATGAGGGTGACCCTAGTGAAGACTCCTAGTAATGGGGGATACAGAGCCTGAACTGACCATCTTCTGTAACTAGGCAAGACTTCTAGTGGTGGGATCAGCCACAAAACCTTCAACCTGCAGTTTGTCCTGTTTGCAAGATGTGCTGGGGTAATGGTGGGACAGAACTTGTGGGAGTGGCCAACCAGTGACTGATGAAACTTGAGACCCATGTCATGAGAGGGAGCCCACGTCTGACACTGCCTGGATGGCCAGGAACCAGAGACTGCATAGCTCAGAGACCTAGGATAGAACTAGACAAAACTGGCAAAAAAAAAAAAAAAGTCAATGAAATGACTCTTAATGCTATTCTGCTGTATACTCACAGATCAGAGTCTAGCCCAATGGTCATCAGAGAGACTTCATCAAGCAACTGACAGGAACAGATGCAGAGACCCACAGCTAAACATTAGGTGGAGGTCAGGGAAATCCTGCAGAAGAGGGGGGCACGAAGGATTGTAGGAGCCAGAGGGCTCAAGGACACCATAAGAACACAACCCACAGAATCAGCTAAGCAGGGGTTATAGGGGCTCGCAGAGACTGAGGCAACAGTCAGGGGCCTATGTGGGGTCTGAGCTAGGTCCTCTGCATATGTGTTACGGTTGTGTAGCTTGGTGTACTTGTGGGACTCCTAACAGTGGGATGGGGATTGTCTCTGACTCTTTTGCCTGTTTTTAGAACCCTTTTCCTCCTCCTGGTTGCCTCATCCAGCCTGCATATGAGGATTTATGCCTAATCTTGTAATTTGTTATGTGGTGTTTGGTTGATATCCCTGAGAAGCCTACTCTTCTCTGAAGAAAAACAAGGAGTGTGTCTATGGGAGAGGGGAGGAGGAAGGGGACTGGGAGGAGCAGAGGGAGGGGAAACTGTGGTCGAGATGTAGTATATGATAGAAAAAGAAAACCAAAACAGAACAAGGGCTATAGTGCTTGCTTTAGCAACATTAGAATAATACAGAGAAAATTAGTATGGTCTCCGTACAAGGATTATCTACAAATTTGTGAATTGTTCTGTATTTAGAAGGAAAAAATAAAAACGAGCTGTGGTTATAGCTCAGTGATAAAATGTTTCCCTAGCATACATGAGTCCCTGGGGTCCATCTCTATCATCACCATAAAGAGAAAAAAGTGACTAAGTTTCCGTCCTGCCCAAAGGGGCTACATGGTGATCTATAAGAAAGTTCCTGAAGGAAGGATTCCATCTAGTGTAACTCCCTTCCATGAAGGGCTTTTTTTTTTTTCATTTCAAGTGAGCACAACCATGTGCTGATCAGCTAGGAATGCAGAGTCCTTGGGGGATGAGGTGATGCCGTGTAATTGCTTTACCCTTTCCAGGCAGTCTTAGGGATTGATTCTAACCTCAAATAATTCAGGTGTCAAAGTTCTGACCTCCCCTCCCCAGTACTTCAGAATGTAACTGTGTTTGGAAATATTATTGTTGTAGATATAATTAATGAAGATGAAGTCATTTGAGGGTCTCACTAGGAGGGGTATCCTTACAAAAAAAGGAGGTTTGGACACAGACAGCACACAACTAGAGACGGGATGATGTTGTCACAAGCCACAGAACACCAAGGCTGGGACAGGGCCTTGTTGATTTTTTTATACATAGACTTCAAGTCTCCAGTGTTGCATGATGGTACAGGTCTCTGTGCACACTGCCTCATCTGCAGCGTGGGTTACAGCAGCCACAGCCAGTGGAAGGTGGCAGGAGGTGAAAGTGACCGAGTCAGGTGATTCACCATGTGTTCTCTGGTTCTTGGTATGGGTCTTTGGTGGGGTGTTAATTTGGAGAATTTATCTGCTGTGTTCCATGAACTCTGGAAGCCCCTGGGGAGCTGAGATGTGGTCAAGTCCAGCCCTGGTGTTGGACAGTGAGTAACCCTAAGCAGGCTCTCTGTAAGCTGTACAAATTCGAAAGTTTAGAAATTTTCAGGTCTAGCCGGGCGGTGGTGGCGCACGCCTTTAATCCCAGCACTCGGGAGGCAGAGGCAGGCGGATCTCTGTGCGTTCGAGGCCAGGCGGGACCGATAGCCTCCGAAACAATACAGAGAAACCCTGTCTCGTAAAAACCAAAAAAAAAAAAAAAAAAAAAAAAAATAGAAATTTTCAGGTCTAAGGTTGTGAGTGTCTGTTGTGAATTCCTGTGTGTGTGTGTGTGTGTTTGTGTGTGTAAGTGTTCTTTTGTTTGTTTTGAGACAGGATTTCTTTGTGTGGTCTTGGCTTTTTCTGGAACTCACTCTGTGCACCATAGACCAGTCTGGCCTCGAACTCACAAAGATCCACCTGCCTCTGCCTTCCGAGTGCTGGGATTAAAGGGGTACTGCCATGGTCCCTCCGCAGCCTGGGTACAGGTCCTGAGATAGGTAGGGGGCATCAGGGCAAAGAAATGAATTGTTTGACCACGAGATGAGTTTCACACAAGTGACTGGCCCAGAATAGGTCCAGCCATCTTTATACATTAAAAACAAACATGTTTTTCCATACTAACAAACAAGTTTTTCCCATTCTCCAACATTAACCTCTAGCAAAAACAAATAGTCAGATATGGTTATTTTCCCCAACCTTTACATCAAAACATCTTTAAACCAAAAGAAACACCATTTTGCTAGCCAAATATCAAGCCAGGTGCATCCTGTCCTTACAAAACTAAAAGTTGATTGACATAGGCACACATTTCCAAGAATACTGTTGTTCAAAACATATTTACAGAAATGGGGTGGTTTGCCTCTGATCCTGTCAGCACTGAATCAGAACAGCTCCCGGGGTCTGGAGGGACAGCTGGCATCCCCCAACAAGAAACCTGAGAAACATCAGTTCCCAAAGAATTTTAGGGGAAAATATTCAAGAAAGAATGGAGCTTCCAGGAATGATCACATCTGTCTCATACGTGATTGACAAAATGACACTAAAATCTCAAAGAGCATCCAGATTGCATGGTCACAGCATTATTCTGTGCTGAGTGAGACTGTCCCCATGGGCTTTGCCTCATCTGGGGACCCACTGGGCAAGCACTCATATACTGGCTCGAAACTAGGCCACACAGCTTCCAACAGCATATACTTTTAATATGTGTGTTATTAATTAAATTTATTTACTTATTTTACATATTAGTCACAGTTTCCCTCCCTCTTCTCCTCCTACTCACTCCAACCACTTTTTTTTTGGGGGGGGGAGTTTCTGAGACAATGTTTCTCTGTGGCTTTGGAGGCTGTCCTGGAACTAGCTCTTGTAGACCATGCTGGTCTTGAACTCATAGAGATCCGCCTGCCTCTGCCTTCGGAGTACTGGGATTAAAGGCGTGCACCACCACCCGGCTTCTTTATATATCTTTTATATATAAAGGATGGTTCTTAAAATGTGAGGGATGAAGACTGCAGGCTAGGTTATTTAACCTAACTTTTCACTTTGGGTAAGAAAATAGCTTTGTCTACTGATGGGCAGTATTTTGTCTGGGTATATTAGCTGTTGTATGTAGATTTCTGTTTAAAACCTCAAGTCCATTACTGTTTTAGAAGTACTTCAGACATCTTGCCCAGGGACGGGGCTAATGTCCACCTGCCATTTGCTGTCTGAGTGAGTCATGACCTCAGACCTCCTTGGCACATTTGTACTGCAGGGCCTGCGGTGATGGACTCTACTGTCAGTATTTGTCCCTACTGCTTCCACTCTGTTTAGCGTGACAGCCTGTGTGCTGGATGGATGATGACCCTTTGCATGAACTTTGCTGCCATCTACCTAGACTCATTCCATAGCAGATGTGTTTCACGTTGGTGACTGTTCTCTTCTTCCCACAGAGTCTATAGAAGACGCAGCAGCAAGACTCCCAGATGAACAACCGAAAGGAAGATATGGAAATCACTTCTCACTACCGGCACCTGCTTCGAGAGCTCAATGAGCAGAGGCAGCACGGAGTCCTGTGTGATGTGTGTGTCGTGGTGGAGGGCAAGGTCTTCAAGGCACACAAGAACGTCTTGCTTGGGAGCAGCCGCTACTTCAAGACACTGTACTGCCAGGTACAGAAGACATCTGACCAGGCCACAGTCACTCACTTGGACATTGTCACAGCTCAGGGCTTCAAGGCCATCATTGACTTCATGTACTCTGCCCACCTGGCTCTCACCAGCAGGAATGTCATTGAGGTGATGTCAGCTGCCAGCTTCCTACAGATGACTGACATTGTGCAGGCCTGCCATGATTTCATCAAGGCTGCACTGGACATCAGTATCAAGTCAGACGCCTCAGATGAACTCTCTGAGTTTGAGATTGGCACCCCAGCCAGCAACAGCACGGAAGCGCTGATCTCAGCTGTGATGGCCGGAAGGAGCATCTCCCCCTGGCTGGCTCGGAGAACAAGTCCTGCCAATTCTTCTGGAGACTCTGCCATTGCTAGCTGTCATGAAGGAGGGAGCAGCTATGGGAAGGAGGACCAGGAACCTAAGGCCGATGGCCCTGATGATATTTCTTCACAGGCTTTGTGGCCTGGAGATGTAGGCTATGGGTCTCTGCGCATCAAGGAAGAACAGGTTTCACCATCACATTATGGAGGGAGTGAGCTTCCATCCTCCAAGGACACCACAATACAGAACTCTTTATCAGAACAGGGTGCTGGGGATGGCTGGCAGCCCACAGGCCGGAGGAAGAACCGGAAAAACAAAGAGACTGTCCGACATATCACGCAGCAGGTGGAGGAGGACAGCCGGGCTGGCTCCCCGGTACCCTCATTCCTGCCAACATCAGGATGGCCTTTCAGCAGCCGAGACTCAAGTAAGCCTTTCTGTGATAGGCTGGGTGCAGGTGGCCCAGGTCACTGTGTTGACTGTGTCGTCAGCCGGCCATGCTGTTGGTGACGTGGCACATTCCCATGCTCACACTACTGGCTTCCTGTGGTTACCTCCTATCACAGTAAATTAGTATGACTTCAGGGAATATGACCTACGTGTAACAAAGGCTAAGATGACTTTGGGTCCTTAACAGCCCTGGTATGTCTATCCCATCAATACAGCTCCAGTATGGAGAAGTTGCCTGTGTGGGGCTTCCATGAGACAAATAAGACAAGCTACAGGGTCTGTAGTTGAAAGAGTAGGGAGACAGTTGGGGAAGGTCATCGTTCTGAGTTGTCTGCTTTTCCATTTATTGCATCTTTCCTTGGTACTGTCAGGGCCACCCAGAAAGTCACCAGAGTGGCTCTCAGTTCTATTCCCCACCCCGGACCTTTTCTTGGCTCTCAAGTTTGGTCTTCAGTTTCTTGCTGCCTTGAACTGAGATGTTGTAACTGAAAACACAGTGAGGGATGAGTGTGTCTCGTGGTGGTCACAGGCTTGCACTACTCCTGCTGAGGACCCGGGTTCAATCCCCAGCACCCATGTTTGGTGGCTCACAACTGCCTGTAACTCTGCTTCAGAGAGGTCTGATATCCCTGGCCTCCGTAGGCACCTGTACTCTCATACATACACCAGCACCCACATACTTAAATTTCTAGAACTTTTATTATTTTTTAAATCTTAATCACAATTGTATGTGGTGAGTTGGGATTATATGTGCACATGACTCCAGGTACCCACAGAGGCCTGAAGTAGATGTGAGCTTCTCAACATGGATGTTGAGAGTCAAACTTGGGTCCTCTTTAGCCCCCTCTGCATTGTAAACATTTTTAACTGGGCAGTTCACTGGCGTTAGATATATCCATATTGTACTATTATCCATCTCTAGAACTTAAAAAAATTAAGTTTTTAGATTTACTTATTTTGTATGAATGTTTTGCCTGCACTTATGTATGTGTATCGTGTGTGTGCTTGGTGCCAGTGGAAGTCAGCAGGGGATATCATATACACTGGTACTGGAGTTATGATTATTGTGAACCATCACATGAACACTGAAAATTAAACCTAGATCCTCTACAAGAGCAACAAGTGCCCTTAACCACTGAGCCATCTCTCTCCACACATTTTGGTTTTATTTTTAAAGGTCTCATTGCATTTCCAACACTGAGCCACCAATCCCGGAACCAGAGCCTGAGCC